CGTTAACGAGCCGATGAACCAGATGTTCTGACACATACAGACAGAACATGAGGGAAGTGGAACCTCCTGAACTAAACTAACACTCGTCACCAACACGAATCAGGTTTCATTCTCTGAGAGCCACGGCCCCTGATTGAACCCAAACATCTAACACACCTGAAGATCTGTGATGATGATGATGATGATGATGATGATCTGTTGGTGTCTCTGCAGATGAAGAACAACCTGCTGCAGGACAAGAGTCCAGTTCATGGAGACGACTTCGTGATTCTCCCTGAACCTCGAACAGCGATAAACATCTGCTCCAAAGACACAATGAACATCACTGTGTCTCAGTGTAGCCTCAACGTCTTCCACAACCTCACCAAGGTATCACATCATGTTGTACAACACAACATGTTCTGTATCACCACAAAATAACATCTTGTGTAAAATAACTAGATTATATTGAAGTTTAATCTGTAGAATCATTTATAGATTCATTTAAAGGTCAACTTGTATTTTAACTTGTTGGTAAACTTTATCTTTGCTGTATTTTTGATCAGGCGTTCTCTGAGGGCACGGCCTCCACCTTTGACCCGTCTCTGAAGGAGAAGGCCCCCTTCACCATCAGGAACTCTCTTGGGATCCCTCTCATCGTGCAGCACAGCGCCACCCTCAGGCTGGTGGGATCATCATCACTGGGGAAACTTCACGAGCTGTCAGTGGATCAGAGCGTGGACCTGGAGCACTCCGTGTTCTATCCGTCGTCACGGGGGAAACTGTCGGCGCTACAGCGGCAAGAGAGCTGCCTGTTCAACCTCACCATTGGTCAGAACTCGTCATGTGACCTGCTCTCACACGGTTCATTGTCTCTGTTACATGTATGAAATAAACACGTGTCTTGTGATTGTGCAGTTCCCACCGGATACAGCGAGATCTCCAACATCGCCGTGGACAAACCAGGTCGTCGTCTCTACAACATCCGTGGCCCGATGCTGCAGGAGGCGGTTTCTGTGCTGCTGCAGATCGACGCCGCCGAGGGCAACAAGGTCATCACCATCCGTTCGCCGCTGCAGGTGTGAATCACAAACTCTCACCACATTCCAGAGCGTCTGAGCAGCAGCACGACTCTTTCTCACTGTTTGTATTTTCAGATAAAAAATCACTTCTCTGTGCCGTTCACCGTCCTGAAGTACTGTCCAACGTCCCGCAGTCTGGAGAGCGTCGGACAGGCCGAGCCGGAGAGAGAGTTTCACGTCGCCTTAGAAACCTACAGGTGGCATCACACTGCATTCAGCTACACAAAGGAGTGATCGGTGTTTTTACTGAGACGTCGCTTCTGTTTTGTTTGAACATGAGAAAGGAAAGTTTGTGTTCGGCTGCAGCGTTGGTGTTTTAATCCCCGTCTGTCCTCCAGGTGTCAGCTGTTTGTCCGTCCAGCGGGTTCCCTCGATGGTCAGTACGGTCCGTCCTCCACCTGCGTGTCCTGGAAGGAGCAGGTGCACCGCAGCTCGGAGGTGCATTCGTTGCTGCAGTGTTCTGCGACTGACAGCAGCCTGCTGCCGCTGATGGTCAGCACGCTGGCCGTCCCAGACGACCTACGACACATCGCCAGCCACGGAGAAGAGGACTGGGACCCCGCCTACATCATCCACCTCCACCCTGTGGTCACGCTACGCAACCTGCTGCCCTACACGGTCCGCTACATGTTGGAGGTATGATAGCTTCACATAGAACTGAAATCAACCCTCAGCAGGAGATTTTATCTGATCTGATCTGATTTCATCTGATCTTTCCTCTCAGAGCTCAGCGGACTCGTACGAGCTTCAGGAAGGCGGCACGTCGGACCTTCTGAACGCTCGTGTCTCAGGTGAGATCATGTCTCTGGTGCTGATGAGGTATCAGGGTCGCGACTGGCACGGACACGTCCGCATCAAGCAGGAAATGCCTGAGTTCTTCTCCCTGAGTCTCACCTGCGAGTCGGACACCAACCTGACAGTGGACGTGAGCGTTCACGTGACGAGGACGACGAGCCAGTTGCTGCTGTCGCTCTTCAGCCCGTACTGGATCATCAACAAGACATCTCGCGTGCTGCAGTACAGAGCGGAGGACGTCAGCGTCAAACACCCTGCGGACTTCAGAGACATCGTCCTGTTCTCCTTCAGGAAGAAAACCGTGTTCAGTAAGAGCAAGGTGAGACAGGTTCAGTGTGGCGTCAGGTTCCTGCTCCTCAGAGGATGAACCCTGGACGTTTCATCAGACTCAAATATTCCATGCGTGTGATTTGCTCTTCTCGTGCTCAGATAAACAAGTATAACAATGAAAGGAGCAGTACTTTTATACTTCACCTCCTCAGGTCTCACAGACCAACATGTCCACGTGTCCAGCTGGACCTGCAGCTCACGGTGTTTGTTTTGTGTTGGTTGTTGCAGCTGCAGCTCTCTGTCTCCACCAGCTCCTGGTCGGATGGTTTCTCTCTCGACACCGTTGGAAGTTACGGTTGCGTTCGTTGTCCTGACAACAACATGGACTTTCTGGTAACTTCTGTTAAACTGAAAAACCAGGACTTGTCTTTGTCTCTCCGTTACTGCTGCTGGTTACTGATTGGTTACCGTGTGTCAGGTGGGCGTGAGTATCCAGATGAGCAGCTTTAACCTGACGAGGATCGTCACCATGAGTCCGTTCTTCACACTCGTCAACAAATCTTCCTATGAGCTGGAAGTGGGAGAGGTCCTCTCCACGTCCACCAGGTGGCACTACATCTCCTCCACAGAGGTGAGTCTCACCGTCCAATCACAGAGCTGGATCAGTTTTCAATATGACACGACTCTGACGTCACAGCGCTGATGGATCTGTCTCCATGGTAACATCTGCTGAGGCTCATGGGTACTGTAGTTTTTAAAGCTATCAAACAAACTGTAATCAGAGGAGTTGTAACCTTGTTGTTGTTGTTGTGTTGTTGTTGTGTTGCAGTGCCTCCCTCTGTGGCCGGAGAACACCTCGGGGAAGTTGTGCGTCCGTGTGGTCGGATCTGAATCCACCTCCAAGTTATTTTTCTTCAACCAACAGGACAGTGGCACGCTGCTGAGCCTGGACATGGTCAGTTCCCTCTGAACCAATCACAGCAGTCGATTTCTCCTCAGTGGTCAGTTTTATATATGTGTGTGTGTGTGTGTTTTTTTTTTTTAGTGTGGTGGAATCATCATGGACGTCAACATCTCTGATCACTCGACCGTCATTGGCTTCACTGATTATTATGATGGAGCAGCTCCGGCCCTGATGCTCAACCACACACCCTGGGTCACCATCAGCTACAGACAGAGGTCAGAGGTCAACGCACACACACACACACACACACACACACACACACACACACACACAACGTGTCCTCCTCAGGTCTTCTGGTACCAGGTTCATTCACCACGTGTTTGTGCAGTTCAGAGCACAAACACAGTCTCTGGTTTGTCTCTCTGACGGGAATCTAACTACCACCTGTCCCTTCCTCAGCGGCTCGAAGGTGGTTCATGAGCTGAAACCGGGTCAGGCGCGGCGCTTTGTGTGGGACGACCCAGCGGGCGTCCGAACACTCAGCTGGAGCTGCATGGAGCATTCAGGAGAACTGGACCTGCTGAAGGTCTGAATCACAGCAACACTCACTCATCAGTGTTTTAACCTGTGACTGAAACTACAGTATTTATATTTTAACCTGTGACTGAAACTACAGTATTTATATTTTAACCTGTGACTGAAACTACAGTATTTATATTTTAAC